AGGAGGGAGAGGGAGTGGTCATCTCCACTTGCCAAATTTGGTATGTTTGACCTCATGATGTTAATGGAGTGATTTAATTTACATGCTTGGTATGCTTCACATGATGTCATGATGGGGTGATTTAAATACCATGAGATAATGAAGAATTGATATTTTGTCATATGGGCTCAAATTAGGCTTTTGAATTTGATGTCATGTGCCTTTAAATATGTTTATGGGTATGAGCTTCAAAAATGTGCATGATGGATTTTAATTTTTTGGAATTAATCATGAACTTAATTAAATAAGCTTTGATTTAGCCTCAATTGGATTTGAACATGTCACGATCACCAAAAATGTTGGGAAGGGTTGGGAAGGGTTTTATTTAATTTACCATAATATATATATATATATATAGGGTTCTATATTGAATGATATATACTACATTAAACAAGAAAAAAGAGGGGTACAAGAGAAGGGAGCATACAAGTCCCTTCCCAAAAAACTTTTAACCAAAAAAAACTCTACTGAAAGGAAGAGCAACAGTGTCTCCTTTCAACGGTAACTCTAGCTGGGGGGTAGTAGAATTGCCTACCCTAGGGATCTCAGAATGAAGTCCTACCTTGGCTAGCCAATTTGCTGGCCTATTGCCTTCTCTTAATATATGTGAGTAAGAGGATTTAAAGCCCTTTCCCATGGAGTGAATCAATCCAATCCACTGCATCAAATACCAAGGAGTAGGTAACCTCCCTTCAATAATATCAATAAGAACCCTGGAATCAGATTCAAATATAATTGAGGTGAAGCAAAATATAATTGAGGTGAAGCTACACTTTTGGGCCATGAACATAGCCCAATAAATAGCCACAGCTTCTGCCTCCAGAGGGTCCTTAGCAATGGCAGGAGAATGAAAGTAGAGTAAACACTTGCCATTACTGTTTCTGAACACCCCTCCAATACCATCATAAGAATTAGAAAAACTACCATCAGTATTAACTTTAATTCCACCCTTTGGGGAAGAAACCCAATGAATAAGTGCATACTTGATTTTTCTAGGAAGACTGTAGAAAGTATTGTAAAGGATTTCGGGAAGCTTCCCATGACAATATAATTTCTGCAGGTAGCTGAAGCAGTTGGCAGCAATGGTGGCAATTGCCACACAAGTATCTTCATATTTAAGCTTATTTCTAGCCATCCATATGAACCAAGCTATGATACAAGGAATAGGGGGTAAATCTTGGGCCTGCCAATCCTTCTAGCTAGGAGAGAAATCACTCCAAGACAGACCTTCCAGCTGAGGGAGAAATCATTCCAGGACAAAAGAACAGTTTCTAACTTCAGTTTGGGAATTAAACAGTACCAAACCTATTTAACTGTGGAACATTTGAAAAATAAGTGCTTTATAGTTTCCTCATGGGAGTTACATAACCCACATCTAGAGGGACCTCTCAAGCCTTTTAACTTCAGTATATCATCTGTGGGTAGAAAGCCATGGAGTAATCTCCAAGAGAAAAATGACAATGAAGGGGATAGGTATTTATTCCACACACATTTACTCCAGCTGACTCTGTATTGAGGAACACACAAGTTATCAATGGTTGCACATAAAGACTGGGACACCTTCTTTTTCACAATCAGGATATCTTTACTAT